AATCCCATTACAACTCCACCACATCTGCTATGGCATCAAGATCGTGTACTCTCTCTTGTCTACTTTTCAATTCCTTCACGCCACCCCAATCACCCATAACCCTTTCCCTCCATCTCCCTCTCTTGCAGACTGCATCTTCATGTGTCTTCTATGGATTTTTTGCTTTTCAAATGGAATTTATTGACCAATATTGGGATCACATCACTCATGACCTAGCTACCTGCTTCGAAAATTCATCATCTCACCCAATTAAATTCCTTCAAGAAAAAATAAAAATAAATAGAGGGTTGCCTTCAGTTTGCAAATACATTTCAAATGGATATTACAAATACATTTCAGAGGTTAGCAAATGACCAGATCCAGATACATCGTTTATGGAATCCGTGTTTTTAGGAGTGGATGAAGGGTTTGGGTTGATGAGTTGTGCTGGGAAAGAAGAGGTGGGTTCGGAACAGGGGGCGAGGGAGGGGGAGGTCTTGGTGGAGTAGGTGAATGTGTGGTGTCGGGGTTGGGCTTGGGAGAAGAGAGAGAGAGAGGTGGGGTGTCTTGAGAAGTTTTGTGGTGAGAGGGTGGTTGCTGGGTGGGTGATGTTGGCCAGTGGCTTGTTGGGTGGGGTTGGAGTGGTGGTGGTGATGGTAGCTTTTGGTTGGGTGGTGGTTGTGGGAGGGGGAAGGAGGGGACGGGAGAGAGGGAGAAGAGGAGAGGTTTTTTAATTTTTTTTATGCTTATAAATTAATTTTTTTTCATTTTGTATTGTTTATTTTTAAAAGGAATGATTTTTTTAATAATTTGCCCGAATTGCCCCTCCACGAGTTACTCTAATTTGACAGAAATAAGAGATTGTCCTTAAATTGCTTCAAATTGAAACAACAGGGACAAAATTGACCAAATTAAAACGACAGGGACCAAAGTGGTAAAAGTGGCAAACTACAGGGACCAAAAGTGACTTTTTGCCTATAAAAAAACATTAAATTTTAATACATATTATTAGAGGAAAGAAATAGACTTGAATTTAAGATATAAATGTAATAATATTATATATTATTTTTCTTTAAAATAAATATAATTTAATAAATGAGCTTTAAACGAGTTGGCATGTTGGGTTTTGGGCCGACACGCCCTTGATGGGCCACAGGCTGACTCGGCCCAACCCATTAGGTCTAATTATCTTGTGCCGGCACGGCCCAAAGATACGAGCCGTGCCGTGCCATACTGGACTTTATTTAAGCAGACCGTGCTCATGTCGTGCTGAGTCGGTCCAATCCATTTCACACCTCTTTATCAAGGATATCACTTATACTATCAAATTTATACCCAATAATAACTAGATTCACAATTAACTCATATCTATTCAAAACAAACCAAATGTGCCACACACTGTCCAAGAATCCTAATACAACATCTTTGAAATTATAAGAAAAAACCTCAAAGCCAAGGATAGTGCTGAGATGCAAGAACATTAGTCGTCAGATGGCGTGGTTTATGCGAGTCAGGAAGGCATATTGATTTTTGCGAATGGATGAACACCAATGGAAAGTAAAGCTTTTAATGCATGATAGTACCCTGACCATGGTTGCAGTCGTCGCCACCTCTCTTTTATACGTTTCTTGACCGTGGGCAAGATGCTACCATGCATAAAAATTCACAAAGATCAAAACGACTCTCTCTCTCACGCATGGAAAACCAAAACCCACGTAATGTAAACCCAGAAAAAATAATTCAAAATCAAGGTATATTCCAATTAAAAAAAAAAAATAGCGAGCCCCAATACATGAAGGATGTGTGTGCACTGAATTAGTGTGCACAGATTTGGTGTGATATTAGGTGGAGTCAAAGTAGGAGAAAGTT